TTTGGTAGATATTGTGCACCAAGCCGAGTACAATATTATGCCTGTAGCTGCTTTCAAAGTGTTACTGTCTGCTCATCCTACTGCTGACTATCGTGATACTTCGACTTTCCCTACCGAATCGCAGGTGAAATCGTTCATATCTCAATCGAAAGCTAAACATAAAAAGGTGATAGCAGAAGCATAAAAGCAATTGCTTAAATCATAATGCTGGGAATGTGGCTTTATTGATATATACTGAATTTACTCCCAGCGGTAGACCTTAGTACTAGCTAGTATGGAGACTTGAGGATGCTGTATTTCACTTAAAAATTTATCAATTAACAAACGAAAACTTGTCTCGAATTGATAGGTCCAAAATCAGTCTCTTTGGGAGTTTCCGGATTGAAATTACTTTTAATATTCAACAAATTGTAACTTTTGGGTTGTTTAAATACAAATACAACTAATACTTATTTCAAGAACTTTTTTTAAAACTATCTTTAACTTTATTTAAATGTTTCCATTCTAGCATACTTCAACTGAATAACAAGTTACATAATTTAGTTTAATTATATATAAGTTGGTTCTCTGTTAGTTCTGTTAGGTAACTATTATTACAGTGAAGTTTATATTTGGATCCTTTAATTATTCATAAGTTGGTTCTCTGTTTCGATGACGAGGAACCCACTTTGAAACTAATAATGGCTGGAGACGGCTTGAATGTGTAATGAAGTAATGAAGTTTATATTTGGATCCTTTAGTAAAACTGCTCCATATGTTATAAAGAAATTTTTAAATGATGTTTGTTGCTAAGTAGGATCTAAAAAAACATTATAAGTATAATCAAGATAACCTATTTAATTCTACACGTATAAAAATGTAATAGTATTGTCTGTTGTCTGTCCACGTATTTACTTCGCAGGGTGTGGATGGATCTTCACTGAAATTAGTAAGGAGGTTCAAGAGAGGGTCTAAACAAAAATTTCGTTTTTATGGTCGTTTTTTGCGTGTTTGCGTTTTTTACCACTACCTCATCACTTGTGGATGGTCCATGCGGATATACATACAAATTTTCAGTTTTGCATTTTGTGTGTTGTTGTTTTGTTTTGTTTTTTTGGCGTTTTTGCCACTACTTCGCCTCCTGTTGATGTATCTTCGCCAAATTTGGCACGAAAGTTTGTTGGGTCCATGCAGAGATACATGCAAAATTAAAGTTTCACATTTTGTGTTTTTATGGGTATTTTAGCGTTTTTTACAATTACATATAAGGGAAACAACTTTTCACGTCCAATGATAACCTTTCATTAATCATGAATTTACATAAATTACGTCCAGGGAACAGGTGCTCCATCTAGTTATAATTATGGTATTAAAAAAATATATAAATACAAACCAAATCATCCAGTAGAAATTACAAATTTGCGACTGATGAAAGACTGTAAAGAACTGAGTGGAAATATGTTTCTGTAGAAAAACTAATATGGAAAGTAGTTGTCGACGCAAATTAAACTTTTAAAATCCACAATATTCCACTTATTTTTCTGTTTACAACTTTTTAATATTTTGTAACGTATAAAACTTTAATTACACTTTTACAAAATTAATAATAATAAAGTAATTTCGAGTTAATTAATGTAATTTAGGTATATTCAATTCAAATAATTGTATAGTTACTTAGTATAAAAATATATTCGTCCTCCAGTGAGACAAAGATAAGTTACGGACTTACAACACTACAATCCGGGGTTCGATTCCCTGCGGTGAAAACGGTACATAGTCCAATGTGGCTTTGTTCGCAAAAAAGCAAAACAAATTATACAACGGATTACAGAACCTATAGAAATCAATTTAATTTTGTTTCTTTTATCCTTAACCCTAAATATTTTGTTTTTTAAACTGTGTATCACCTACAGTGGAATTAGACTTTGGTGGGTCGTGTTGTGTTTTATTTGTTATTTCTTATACATTAGTTACCTTTCATATAATTTATTCATAACAAAAATACTTGGTTGTTGTTGTTGTTTTTCGCAACTAAAAGATTTTATTTTCTTAGCAACGAGTCAAGTATACAATGATCTTATATTCATAGAGTTAGGGAAAAAACGTATGTTAAAAAATCGTTTAAAAACAAAAATATTAAATCTTATTACGCTTTCAAAGAATGGATTTTCTTTCTTCATAAGGAGCAAACTAAGAATGTCTAAAGCTAAGTATGAACAAATAGTTAAGTGGCTTTACGGCATACAAACACGAAACTGTTTTGATTAACGTCGAAAGTGCTCGGGTTATATGATTTCCTATTATTCTCTTATATTCCGTACTTGACAATGTAAATCCTTCGAAAGGTTTTTAACGAAAACCTATGATGTAGTGAGAAATTTAATAATGTTTCGTGAAGAATGAGCAAGTCGCCTTGTCGCCTGTAAGTGTAACACCGTTATTCAATTTTTTGGGCAACTACGCTTACATTATATAATTAATGTGGCATTTTGCCTCAAGCGGAAGAATACCGATATTTCGACCATTTATCAAGCATTGTGAATTTTTTTTCTTTTCAATTTGGTAATGCCCCCCCAGTGACATTACCAACTTCGAACTTACAACGCTAGAAACCGGGCTTCGATACCCGTGATGGGCAGAGCAAAGATAGCCCATTGTGTAGCTTTGTGTTTAACTTCAAACAAACAAACAGTCCGGTAATATAACTTTACATAGCAGTTACTCTAATGTATTTCTCTCTTGATGTTTTTGTTTTAAATAGTATGATTAAAATTCATCAGATGGCGACAGATATATCTCGCTGGTATTATAATTATTTTTAAAGAAGAACGAGAACTGCAAGCCCTTTGCTCTGCACTTACCAATGGCTTCTTGAAGCTGCTCGTATTTAGCCCCTCTTAGATAGCGAGCGAGCCGAAGTTTGACGATTTTTCCGGTATTTCGTAATACATCCACTGCCTGATGATTATTGTAACTACGTAAAGACCGACCGTCCACCTTGAGGAAAATAAATTATGTCTGAGAATTTACGTATGATTAAAATATTAATATTTTCAGTAAACATAAATCCTTCACAATTATGTCTTTAAAACAAATTATAATGAAAATATTCAAATATTAATATCTTCAAAAAGCATAAAACCTTCACGATTAAGTCTTTTAAGACAAATTATAATGAAAGTATTCAAATATTAATATTTTCAATAAACATAAATCCTTCACGATTAAATATTTTAAGACAAGTTATAAAGAGAAGAACGAAAAGATAAGTTGAATATTTCGCAACTATCTGCTCAACCAACTTGGATTTCCTTCCCTGAGGTCAAACCAAACTCTTAAGCCATATAATTTTACGTGTTTTCGAAATATTCGTATCTTGGATGAGGAATAGTTAACACTGCGACGTATTATCTCTCGATCATTGTCTTACTCTTGCGTTGCTTCTGGTTTATTAGCTATTAATAATCATCTTGAAAAACAAGTTCGTGCTAGGTTATTCAAGTGGGATTTTTTCCAAATTATCTCCACAAATTGTGATGGACAGTTGTTTACACGAACCAATTTAACATAGTTTCCTGATTTTAATTGTTTGTTTGTTTTTGAATTACGCGCAAAGCTACACGAGGGCTATCTGCGCTAGCCGTCCCTAATTTAG